GTGTGTGTGCATCCACAAGGACGAGGCCATGTGCCAAGGTCTCCTCTGACAAATGCAAGGGCAAACTCCAGATCAGCACAAAATCCTGATGACTCTATCATGGCACATTAACTATGAATGAGGGGGGAGCCAGGGTCCCTGCCAGCTGTATGTATGCTAACCCCCGAGAGCACAGCGCGACCACAGCTCTGATAACATGTTTGCGGGAGAAATAAGCAGCGAGCCGTTGTAATTCCCTGCCGCTGTCGTTAGCTATGGCGCGAAACATCTCCACATTAATCTACAAGTGCTAATTTATAGCCACTAATTCCCCCGTGGCCTCGCGCTTTCTAGCCATTATGGCTCAGCACAAAGTTTAATTTCTTCCCCCCTGCCCAAGCGTTCCTTCAAATGCACAATACGCTTTGATATTCACTCCCACCTCTGGTTATTACACCTTCCATACAAAGTGACTGTTTACTATTAGCCGTGAAATGAACTAAAGTGAGTTAGGTTGTTAAACATGAATTAGCAGCACAGAGCTCCCCAGAGGAATTCAAAGAAAGGAAGCAGAAGTAACAAACACCCGAGGCCTGCGCCTACCTCCAAAGTGCCTGGTTACAGTGGAATATGATGTTGCTAACAGGCAGTTTTCATGTTAGCTCACAAGCCTACAGAATAACTCATTAGCATCCCACGGAGCAGAACCAGCCCATGGCCTGACTCTGAGAAATGCATTTCTAAGGATTGCAGAGCTGTAATAAGGTGGTATAAATCAGTAATATCTCCCCAGGGGCGAGGATGGAAGCTGGAACACCGCCCTGCTAGCTTTCGTGCTCTTTCAGCCTCAAAGCCCAGGTTGCTGTCTGCTCAGGTGTCACACTGTATCAGACTGTTTTAGCTGACTGGGGGGGTCACAAGTGTAGTGCAGCTGAACAGGTTGCACTCAAAATCTGCTCATATCCAGGAGGCAACAGTCACAAACTAGCAGATACACGCTGGAGTACTGGTTGTTTTCTTAGGCTCTGGACATTTTAATACCACGTGCCACGTGTAGCCTTGTTGTATGCTCTGTACCTGATGATTATTTTAAGGTAAAAGCATACCCACACAATGCTAAGAGTTAGGGACCCACAGCTCAATCTTGCTCTGGGGACCCCTGCTGGGTTAATCAGTTTCTGCCTTAACCCTATTCACACTGGTATTAATGTACAGTATGTATCCAGATACATTATCTGATCACAGGCCTTTGCATTTACACCTCATGTTAATTCAATTCTGTTATCTCAGTTCTGCCCACTTTATGATTAGATGCCAAACTGTACAGGTTACATTCACAGGTTAGATTGCAGTGTGAGCAGCTGCAGATGTGGTCTGACTAAACTGGTTGCATTAAATGCATTCTGCCTGCATATATACGCACATTTATCCCTATCCACATAAGATATCCAGAGCCAGATTGAATGTTATCACCGTGTGTAAATGTGCTTCCTTGTACAATATAATTGTTGGACAGAAAACAAATTCTATAGAGGCGTAAGTGTTAAAAAATGAGAATCACACATCTGGTTAAAGAAAAATGAAACAAAAAATAGCACACTATGAACTCTACATTACCTCACTCACTCAGAAATGCACTACCTGAAAAGCAGTGAAGTGCAGGGAGGAAGGGAATCAGGAGGGAGGGATGGCAGCAGGTCTGGAGGAGGTGTGGGAGGAGTGATCCTGTCTTTCTGAGGTCGACAGAGAGATGAGGAGAACGTTCATTAAATAATGATAGGCTTTATGGACCTGGACTGTTCACTGTGTGTGTCTTCACTACATGTCTGCAAGCAGCAGCTTGGCTTCCTCTCCTTGACCATAGTCACACACATACACACACTCTCTCCCAGTGAGTTCTCTAATGAACGTGGATATTAAGGAGCTGTCACCCTTCACACTCCTCAGCATGGGATAGACAACTAGCTGTCACTCTGATCATCGTTGGGCAAACAAAGACACACACACACACACACATACACACACACACACCCACACCAGAGATATCCGTCATTGCTCAAAGTCACCCCCATCTCTCGGGGTGAGGCCGACTGTGTGCCACGCCGATGAGAGAGAGTTTATGAAGACATCTGTCTGGTGTTTCATTAGAGCTGACTCCCATGTCATGTGGATATTTAAGGCCCGCGGTCACGGCCAACGTCCACTGTCGTTGTCCCTCAGCGTATCGCAGTCATACAGGGACAAAGATAGACAAAAAGTGACCGGAAGCTGTGGGACGTGAGGACACTCAAAGAGATGGTTTAACTTTGTTTTGCAGAAAGTTAAAGAGAAATAAACAAGGGCATGTTGTTGTCTTTTTAAACTCCAATCCCCACCTTGTCGCAATCTATATGCCATAATCTCTTCTATCACTTGTCTCTTATTTAATCTTGGCGTCTCAGAGAGATCAAAGTCTGTTTTCCATGAGACTTGAAACACAATAAATCACTTACAGACTCAAACAGGCAGCCAACAATATATACAATAAAGGAAGGAGAAAACAAAAGAAATCCTACACTCAACTACACTACAGTACAATGAGATATCATTATTTTAAGATCACCCGGTGGGAAAAGAATTTCTAATTTCAAAGAGCTTTGCAGCAGGCTGCTCCATTTTAAGGAGCAAAAAGAGCTAGGTACAAAATTATAGGATTATAATAAAATATAGGATTTAAAAGACATGAGGTGTGAGTTACAGAGCAACACAAGTAGAGCCTTATAGGCATTGTCAGGCGATTATTGAGAAGAGAAAGGAAACAGAGTGACATCAGACTGGTTACCATGTATCTATTCAGTTATGTTAAAAGTCAAAATCAGCTTCCCCTTTCTTCTCTTCTTTGCTCTTTAAAGAGAAAGGGAAAAAAGAAAGTTAAACATAAAGATCAGATAACTAATCTTGAGGAGCACTACTCAGCCTATGACTTGTATAATGTCTTCTTCTTGTCCCTGATAATGTAATCAGGGTTATCTCGGAGACCACAAATGTATAACAAACAGCGATCTTATAATCAATCCGTGTGAGTGACAGATATCTCTATACAGATCTCTTGATAATGGATAACACCTATGAGTATCGACACCCGAGCGCAGGGATTTTCTCGCATCAATCAGAAAATCAAGAGAAGTTAAAACAGAGGCGATTATGGTAATAGATTACTTTTCACCCCTGTCAGTCAGCGCGTTATCACTTGGTCGTGTGACTTCATGTTTACTCTTCTTGGTTAATTTCACACATCACAAAGTCAGTGTGAACAATTATATTATATATTTTTCCCTTCGTCCGGATTAAATGAACCAATATCCAGCTGTGAAAGCAACATAAAAGTTAGGATAAATCTGCTGCACTGATTTCAACCATTTCTTTTATTTATTGGCTGGCTCTGACAGACAATTGTATCTGTATCCTATGTCTTGTTTTTAGGTACGGTTCTTGTTGGTGCTGAAAGAGGAGACAGACAATAGAGCATGTGCAAACAAAGCATTGGTCTATGTCAAATACACAGAGTGTAATGTGTTCCCTGAGGGGCATTAGGATCTAAACGTTAACTGTCATTGTGTGTTTTGAGAGCGGCGCCAGTGCACAAGGGAGAGAAGCACAGTAAGAGAGAACTAACCAAGAGATAATGAGTCTGATTTGTGACTTCTTCAGTCCCATCAGCCCCCTCTGCCCAAGACGCCCGTCCCTCAGGCTTCTCAGGAAATGGCAAACAAACAGCAGACAGTAAACAAAACCAAAGCTACTTCAAACATCCGAGTCCCCACGCTGATGAAGAGATGCAGCAGGTCTCCGTCTTGTCATCTACTGTTAGTTAGGCCATTCATCAAAACGTCAGCAGCAGGCGGGTGGAAACGCAACACAGAGGCCTGTTTGGCTACAGTGTGCTGTTTCTCAAAGTACAATATGTCAGTGTGTATACAAGTGCTACAGCAGCCCATCATCCTGTAATTACCAGCTGTGTGATTTGTTCCCCGTCGAAGGGCAAGTGAGTGTAAACCTATTCAATAACTCAATGACTGTATTTGGTGGGCTGAATTAGATTTATATCCCATTAAAGGCAGAAGAGTCCCATCACTGAGAGTGACCACTTCTCCTCGTCCCTATTGATCTCTCGTGGTACTGCTTCACGTCACAAATATCAATCAATCCCAAAAGGCTGCAGTGATTCATGAGAACTGCGATCTGCTGCAGCGTAAAGGTGTAATGACAAAGTTTTATCATGGCGATGCAGGATACAGGCTTTATGGTTCAACGCAGCTACAATATTTGTAACTAATGTGAATGAATTTAACTCTCAGCAAGACAGCTAATGATGCCACTCTCATGTCTGTACGCTAAATATGAAGTTACTGCCAGCAGCCGGTTAGCTTAGCTTAGCAGTCTAGTCCAAAGGTCTAGTCCGGTCCAAAGGTAACTAAATCTGCCTACCAACACCTCTAAAGTTACACATTATGTATTGTTTGTTTAATCGGTTCTGATGGTGAATCTACTCAGATGTAATTTGCCACCTAGTTGTCAATAAATGTCAAAAAAATCTCTGTCGTTTTCTTGAGAGGGCAATGTGTGCGCTCTCACAGTTTCACTTGCTATTGCAGACTTCAGTTACAGTATTGGTGGCAGCACTGAGTAGTATTGTTAGTGCTCCGCCAAGTGCATCATGGTCTTTCTTTCTGTTTACGTGGGAACAACCTGATATTTGCCAAGAGGACAGTGCTGTGACCCTGTCGTGTAAAGTAGTAGGTAAATAAACATATTATGTTGAAGAAAATATCCTTCATAAAATACTTTATTTGTTGATAATTGAACAGGTTGGTCTGGGAGTTTTGGCGCCAGCTGTCAACCTCTGTGTTCTCTCTCTGTAATGTTTGCATGCATACAAGCCACACATTGCTGCTGTACTTGGTTACTAGAGAAATGACTCAGGTTTTTACATTAAATTTGGCCTGATAATTTTCTGGCCTTTCTTTTAAAACATTTTCAGGCAGCAGTTCAGAAATTTTAATTAGCCCCTCTGGCATTAATTACATCAAAATAAAAAGAAAGAGTGTACTTTGGGAGTCATATCTGATTAGATTTACATTAAATTATGATCTATGTGTATCTCCACTGCACATATACATATACAAGGTGATGATGTCATGAGACTGACAGTAAACAGTGATCAGACATTTCGGTCCATTATGGTTGAAACAGTTAAAATTTTAAATGATTTCTATAAGAAAAGAAAATATATTGAAAAAACAGTACGAAAGAAAAATATCCTTTTCACACTTATTAGAAGCCCACTGATGTCTTCTCTGCTGCACTTTGATAATCTGATCTGCAAACACGTATAAGACTGTAATATAAGACTGTAGCCATTAGGTGTGTATGTGTGTTCTGCAGACTGGAGCGCGTAGAGAGCGAGAGTGTCTTATTCGGTGGCACCTTTAAACTTTAAGTTTGGTAACGGCATTATGTGTATAACAGTTATTAACAGCCATGCTAGCAGCTCTGTGGGCCAGTACTTTGGCACTGCAGTGCTTTGAGCTAAATGCTAACATTTTCAAGTTGTTGAGTTTAAACTTTCAAAACTTAATTTCAACCTTTCAAATCTTAATTTTAATTTCATGGTGAGACTGATTTTACCTCAGACTGCATTGATCCTTCCACATCATACCCACTGTAGTGTCTGCTGAGCCTTGGGCACTACCACTGTAGCACTGAGGAATTGTTTTGTGCTTCTATCACTTCCACCTTACATAATGGATTCAGCTGAGCCATTTATTCACACCAATGAATTTGGCTTCCTGCCATACTGGTGGCCATTTCTGCACCTGGCAGAAACATAAAGGAGCTGAACTTGCTTCATACCGCAGAAGATAAAACATGCTTTTGTTTCTCTGTCTCTCTCTCTGTTTGCAGATAGCTTGTCACCTCCTGTCAATGTGACCATCAAAGCGGTGAAAGCAAACTCTGCTGTGGTGACATGGGACATCCCAGAGGGAGACCCCGTCATTGGCTTTGCCATCACACAGCAGGTGAGCAACAGCACAGACACAACTCCCACTGGATATATATATATATATATATATGTGTGTGTGTGTGTAAATGTAATGGGGCAGACACTGTTGCTTATGGAAGTAACGCACACACTAATTGAATTAAGTCGTGGCTCATCACTGATTGCTTGCTGCTGTGTCCAGTTGTCTTTATTATGTCGTTCCCTTGCTCCGAGTCAGTATGCATAATGGGGATTTTCACAGGACGCTGGATCCTGTCGGACAGCCTGTCTCCTCTCTAACAGCAGACTGTGACAGCTTTGTGAAATAGGGAAAAGTGATATTATCTGCTGCTGTCGTGATCACATGAAGATATAAAGTGACACACACACACATTCATTCACAGGCATTAATTCGCATTACTTTTACAAGCCTGCTATTTTCGTGACCATTAATGGATGTACAAACACACATACACACGCTCATTCACAGGATTAGAGTGACATGATTGAGGAGGACAGCTGCAGGGTGAGTTTTTGTGTCACTTTCTCGCCTTGGTACTGAGGGTGTGTGTGTGTGTGTGTGTGTGTGTGTGTTGTGTGTGTGTGGCAGAGGGAGGCAGGCAGAGAATCCTGTTGATGTGAAACTGTTGGATGTTCAGAAGATACAAATAATATTCGCTTATACTGAATTGTTGTATAAATATATAAATATTTTCTTAACTCACGTCCTTACTTCCTTTTTGTCGTGTTATGTTTACGGTAGTAGGTACATTTTTAAAGAAAAATAGTAATCCTTAACCCTTAAATACGCTTTAACGCTGTGTGTAATTAAAAGGTTTCCAATTCCACTCTGTTTCTTAAAACGCGAAGCTACCAGCCATGAGGTTGGTTAGCTTAGCTTCGTATAAAGGCCGATAGTAGGTGGAAACAAACAGCTAGCCTCACTCTGTTCAAAGGTTAAAAGAAGCTCCACCTACCAGAACCTCATATATATCTTGTTGGTTTAATCCATACAAAAA